GTCCATTGTCTGCATGATCATTTCCAAAGTTGAACCGTGGACGTGGTACATTCCCAAACGTTTCGCCCGCATCGTAGTCTGCGGTTCAACTTTGGAAATGATCATGCAGACAATGGACCCCGGACTAGGTGCGTTCCAATAACTCTTCCTACCACTATGACCATGTTGCGAAACCAAGGTCAAACAACCTCTATACAACGAAAGGAGACTGCGACCACACAAAATGCCACACCATCTTGGTCTTCATACCTTGCATAATGTTTAATGCAAAACTCATTGGAGAAATCTAAAATTTGTTTTTCTTAATTTCCGACATTGTTTATCTGATAGTTTACCTGCCTTCCAATTGTATGATTCTTATCACTCATATATATATCATAGGTGGTTTCATACCCCACCCTCCCCTCCACACACAGGAATGTACAGACATGGAATTACATGAGTACTGGGGCATATATGCAATTCGAGGATGAGCTGGGATGGTTTTTATGTGATGTTGGCTCGAAGTTATTAGAAGATTTAGGTCAGGTCCGATGAGGTCTGCTAAGTTACATGATAGACGAAAGTTCAACAGGCTCTCATAACCGAAAGAGGCTGTCTCGAGGACTGTTTTGGTCTAAATTTAACAGTAAAATCATACGAAATCTAGCGCAACAAACAAATTTTCCAAGTTTGCTACAGTTTGTCTTTTGTCGCCCACGCCTTCGTGTGCTATAGGCTTAAATAAGCCTCCTGTATCAAGATCTTTGCAGGTCAACTCTAGTTCGAGGATCATCCGGGCTCATTGATGCACACTTCAAGGCTCACTTGTTCTATACGTTTCTGGGCCGGACTTATGGTTGAGTTTTTGGCATAAGCATTCTCCTGCACCGGACTTTTGTCTCTTGCCTTCCAGGCGGATAACCTTAGGCTCCGTCCCAATAATTCTCTTCCATATCGTCTCAACTGCATTCTATCCCATCCCCAAATTGAGCTGTCCACGTAGTGAATGATTTAGCCAGTTCTCTAAAGCGCCATTTCTCTGGGATGCCATTTTGCTCGCTGCAGAGGTGATTAAAGCAGCTCTTTGACAGACTATTGGACAGGCCCAACTGTCAGTCGATGGATCTCACCCTCGGCCGGTCAACTGGAAAGACAGACGGACATACAGACAGACATACAGGCCGAGTGACAGTTGAAGTCTATCGACAACCCATCTTATCCCATTGTCTGGGCGACAAGAGCAGTTCATCAATTTGCCAGCTGAGTCATATTTGTATGTTGCACTTGTGTGATGGTGGCGGGACGAGGAGAGCTTCGTCTGCTCGCCCCTTGTTCCACCGGGTGGGATTCGTGTAGCAGTAGACGGAATGCCTCATTCAGACTCTCCTTCAAGCAATCCATCGAAGGTCGGTGGTTCATCTGCCCCGCAGCAACTGCCTTCCCTCCGACTGTTCTGCCCCTGCAGTGCACCTACTTGTAACAATACACGATATTTTGGGCATTTTTTATTCCTTTCCATTCCAAACATACTTTTGCTCATACTTTCACTCTCTTCTAGTACCGATTCCTACAACACTTCATACAACTGCCCAACTGGATAAACCAGTTAGAGGCAAATTTTAAAAAATCACACGAAAAGAGAGCCAAGTGGTCTATAGATAGACGGGTATGCAGAAAGAACGATTAACTAAAGGAGAGGCAGAGAGAGAGAGAGAGAGAGATAGGGAGATAGAAAGAGAAATACTTCATTGCATAACTCCTCACGATGCCCACCGGGGAGCACACAGGCACGATTGCAAGTACCCATTGCATCGCATATCATGGCAGAAAATTCCCCCTACACTTTCTGCCAGTTTAGCACACACAATTTGAGGTTACTCACAGCTCCCAGGAGGACTGGAAAGCGATGTGAGAGGTCGCTTCGTCAAAGTAGGACTCG